AAAAGAGGGACCGAAGACAACTTCTGATTCCCAAAATTATGGATCCAAAACCACCAAAGAATGTATGATATCCGACTGACTTAACTCTTGCCTTTGCCCATACAGACTGTTTTCTTAAGAGAGAAAATATTATATGGCACAAACTCTAATTACCTCACAGAAATTGATGTGTTATGAAACACATCGACGCCATGGTAGATAGTGATTTGTTAGATTATAAACTTTTATTTAATTATATAAAAAATATATTATAGATTTAATTAGATTTTGATTATAATTATCGATCAGAAAAAAAAAAAAGTTTAATTATAATGTGATTAGACGATATTGTTGGGAGGGTTTCTCCTAACTTTTTTTTTTTTTTATTCTAGTCCTTATATAGATATGATGTTCTAAGGATTTGATGCGTGTGAGTTATGAGTTGACTCAACTCCGGCGAACCATTTCTAATAGTAATTACCTTGCTCCCTCCATATCCATTTGTTGCACTTTTCCAAATCATTCATTGAATTAAGATCCAACATAAGTTTCAATATATATTATTCTTACAAGATATGTGCCTTAGAACATCAAACCAGAACCAGCAAATTTCTCCTTCGTCATCTCATCCAATCGATCGGCCATCTCGGGCGTAAGATGATTCAGCCAATCCCCCACCACACCGCGTCTGAAGAAGAGGGTGTTGTCGAGCATCCAATACCCCATTTCCGTGGTGCCGCTCCTGTTCACCTCCAAATTGCTTAAGCTTTCCATGGAACACAGCCGCACGATGCCATCGATCACCCCTTCCTTCTCCTCATCCTCCGAGAAGGGGCGGCCAAGGAACTCCGCCAGCCGCTTCAGCTGAGCTACGGTGTCCTGCTGCAGCTCCTCGTACTTCACGAACAATATCTTATTCGGCCTTTCCAAATGCGCCTTCCAGTAACTGAGCACATGGTCCCAGTACGGTCCGAAGAGGGATAAGCCCTTGCAGAAGTTGTCCAAGGCCTTCTCGAGCGTCCATGGCTCCAAGTTAGCCTTCGTCCTGAATCTGTTGTTGTAGTGCCATAAGGATATGAAGTTGTCCTTGGGGCTGCGGTACACGTACACGACTCTGCAGCCGGACTCCGTCACCGACGCCGGCAGGGACTGGAAAGGGATGTGCGTGGCGAAGAGTCGCGGAGGTGGCAGCTTGCTCAGGTCAGGTACTCGGTTGTTGGTGTAGATTTGGTGTTCAAGGAAGGGGACGTACTCATGGGGATTGTAGGACTCCAAGGCATGTCGGGAGTCGACGCAGGAGCCACGGTTTACGGTGGAGAAGACGAGGGCTTTCATCCATGTGGTGCCAGACTTGGGGATCGTGGCGACTAGTACGTCGGTAGGGAGAGCTTTGAAGTATTTTTGGGCGACTATGGTGCCTATTATGCCCGACAGCAAACCGTACCAGCCTTCGTAGCAGAAGATTGGTTTGCCATTGCCGGAGTCTACGCTTGGTAGTGCCGACACGAGTTGTGTGTAGTGTTGATAGGTCCGGTGATGGACTCCTTCTTCCTCCTCCTCTTCTTCTTCTTCGAGCTGGGATCTGTAAGCGTCGGCCATGGAAAACGTGATGAGGCCACTCAGGCTGATCTAACGATTTCCTAAATCTTAGCCAAACATACATGAGAAATCAAACTATATATAGGCCAAACTCATGGTATATATTTTTGATATTAGGTAATTTGAATAAGCATTTGGAACCAAAAAAAAAAAATGATTGGTTGGTCTTATCCATTATACATGTGGATGGGAACGAAGCTCTCCATCCATTATTGTCATTAACACGGGAACGTGTCTTGCTACGGCTCGTCGTACTTCACAAACAATATCTTATTTGGCCGTTCCAATTGTGCCTACTGTAATTGATACAAAATCATGATAATGTAGGTACTAAATCTTAGCGAAACATATATAAGAATCAAACTATGTAGGCCCAACTCATTAGATATATTTGATATTAGGTAATTTGAACGGTTGCTTGGAGCCAAAAATAAATGACGGGTTGGTCTTATCCATTTTCCATGTGCATAGGAACTAAGCTCTCCATCCATTATTGTGATTAACATAGCAACATGTCATGTTGCAGCCTCTTGTACTTCACAAACAATATCTTCTTTGGCCTTTCCAAGTGCGCCTTCCAGTAACTGATAGAAAATCATGTTAATTTAGTCCCTAAATCTTTGCCAAATATATATGAGAATCAAACTATATATAAGACCAACTCATGATATATATTTTTGATATTAGGTAATTTGAATGAGGGTTTGGAGCAAAAAAAAAAAATTGATGGATTGGTCTTATCCATTAAACATGTGAGGAGAAATCCAAAAATAATAAATATTATATTATATTTTTTTTATCAACCTTACAGTTGCTATTAATTTTTTAATTTTTATCATAAATAAACTATTTTTTATTATAAAAGATAACATAATATCTGGACTAATTATAGATTATCTTATGTAATTAGCCTCATTTAGTATCTCGATCTCTATACTTTCAAAAGTTATATTGAGATCCATATATTTATAAAAGTAAAATATTTAACATTGTTGCTCTAACAAAATCTCTTTTTCTCTCTTGATTTTCAACCCTATGAAATTATATTTTTAACCTTGTATAGAAATCTCAATGTTTCACTTTCGTCAGCATAAGGATCTCGACTTTTGAAAGGATGTTAAATGCAGCTAATTATAAGAGGTAATATGTAATTAGCCCATAATATTCTTTTCTTATCAATTGCTCTATACTAATAAGATTTTATTTTAAATATGAAATAAACATTACATCATCAATAAGTTTTTTATTAGATTTGGTGTTCACAATAATGATTCCTTTTATTTTATGTGATTATAGCTATTTGAATTAATCTTATCAAGTATGTCAGAAGTGGACGCTAGAGCCACGATTTATAGTGGAGAAGACGAGGGCTTTGATCTATGCGGTGCGAGACTTTGGGATGGTGGCAACTAGTGCATCGATAAGTCGAGCTTTGAAGTATTTTTGGATGACCATGGTGCCTGTTATGCCCGTCGGAAACCCACACTAGTTGTTGTAGCAGTGGATTGGGTTGACATTGCCGGACTCAAAGCTTGGTAGTGTCGACACGAGTTGTGGGAAGTGTTGATAGGTCTGGTGATGGATTACAGTCTGGTCCATCCAATGCATCTTTCCGGTAAGGACGTAAGTCAGTGAAGTAGACATAAGTAGAAATAGAAATAGAAATGGTGAATGGATCGAGAAAAGTGATGAAACTCGTAACTATTCCATCTCTTGTTAGGACGATGCAACTATTGTCCATAAAATTTTGTTTAGTATGAATATAAGTATTTGGTCTATTAAGTAATCGTCATTTCTGGACTGTCCAATGCATCCTTCCGGTAAGGAAAATATGATAGAAAAACGAGGTTTATGATCCATTTTACTAGAATAGATTTAAAAATTAAAAGTAAAATTTTAAAAATTAATAATAAAAATATACTTATTAGAAATATTTTTTACACCTATGATATCTTCACGAATCATAAGATTAGTTTATTAAAATTTGAGATTTTTTTCTCTACAAACACCCTTGGAAGTATTAAAAGCGAGCTATAATCATTTTTAGTTTATGGAGGAGAGTTTCAAGGTATATTGGAACCTTTATTGCCCCCAAAAGAGTGAGTAAAACTCACCTTTTTAGTATGATTCAACATGTGCTAGATCGGATCGGTAGTTGGCACGAAAAGTTTTTATCACAGGCAAGTAGGATTGTACTTATTAATTCTATGTTGAACTTTAGTCCTATTCACTCTTTGAGTGTCTTTTGAATGCCGATTATTATTCTTGATGGGATGATGAAGTCGATTAGAATGTTTCTTTGGAGTAATAGTTAGTCCTCTCGTGGTTTACATCTCTTACTTTAGAAGACTATTACTCTTCAATGTGACGGGGGATTAGGTGGTAAAAACTTGCATATCATGAGGTTTGTTTTGTAAAGGAGGAGGATTTTGTAATATTTAAACAAATATGATAGAATGTTGACACTTGGGATATGATAGTTTCTCTGCTTTTGAAATGTTGCATGACGGACTTTCTATAGTTGTCGGTAATTATATTTTAATTAGTACTATCTTGGATCTTTGGATTTTGGATGTATCTATCCATATAAAGTTGACTTTTTATAATATTTTTGAATTGTAGAGTCATTGTTTGGTTTCGGATTTTACTTGTAATGGATCTTGGGATGTGCCTAGGCTATAATCTATGATTGGGAGTATCTTTTCTGGTGGATCTCGCCTTTGTGTCATGCAATGGACAACTCTCTGTCCATTGGGGATTGGCGGCATTGCCCGTGGAAGCTATCGATATTACCTATTGTTTTTTCATTTCTAATAGAATTGCCAAGCTTGGTGTATGTTCGTGTAAACAACTTTACGCCGTGACCTCGGGGCCAACACGGCTTATTTCGGGTCCGAATGGTGGGGATCTGGCTCAAGGTCTCTCGGAGTTGCTGATGTGGGCGGCCGTGCGAATCGGATCACGTCGAGGCTCGTTGGGACGTCCCGCGTGGAAGGGTCCCTCTCCTCAGTGTTGATGGGAAAGTAGCTCCGTCTTCGTACCTGCACACAGGTCGGGTCGAAGCTCGGCCCGACCCCTCCGACGATGAAGTCAGATGATGTGAATAGGTCTTTTGTGTGTGTTCAGCCTGTCCCCTCTCCTCTCAGGAGGGGGGTTTTTATAGGGTGACTTTCTGTGTCTGATGTGCCTATTTTACAGGGAGCAGGATCGTACTCTCGGCCACGTCTGACAGTGGTGTTGGCGTGCCGTGAAGGATTGTGTCTCGGCCGACGTTCCGGTCCGTTTGATTAGGTGCTGTCGGGTCAATCGAGACGTGAGGCGTCATCTGGGACAGCTGATGTCAGCCGCGTCTTGTCACAATTATTACCCTCATCAGTGTATATGATATTTGTAATCTTACACACAAGAACAATACTTAAAAGACTTGCTTGAAGCAATTAAATCTTGCTATGGCTTCTTAGATTTCATCATTCTGCCGCTTCTTCTCTCTTCGGTACAATCGTATTTGAGGAATCTCAAACACGCCATAAATGAAGCACGCATCGAGCACCTTAGATCTGGAAAAGATAAAAAAGAAGGAACAGAGGAGTATAACCGCTGCATGTAAACCTCACCAACCATTCATTGCCTCTCCAGTAAAGGAAGAAGAACGATGAAGAAATGTGTTGTCTTGGAGGAGATAAAGAAGCAAAAAAAAGTTTGGAAATAAGAAAAGAAAATTATTATTCAGTCGGATTACACATATATTATTATTCTTACGAGATATGCGCCTTGGAACATCAAACCAGAACCGGCAAATTTCTCCTCCGTCATCTTCTGCAATCGATCAGCCATCTCGGGCGTGAGATGATTCAGCCAATTCCCCACCACACCGCGTCTGAAGAAGGTGCTGTTGTCGACCGTCCAATGCCCCAAGTCCGTCGTGCAGCTCCTGTTCACCTTCAAATTGCTTAAGCACTCTATGGCACACATCCGCATGATGCCGTCGATCACGCCATCCTTCTCCTCATCCTCCGAGAAGGGGCAGCCAAGGAACTCCGCCAGCCGCTTCAGCTGACCTACGGTGTCCTGCAGCAGTTCTCCTACTTTGGCCTTTCCAAGTGCTCCTTCCAGTAACCGAGCTCATGATCCCAATCCGGGCCAAAGAAAGAGAAGCCCTTGCAGAAGCTGTCCAAGGCCTTCTCGAGCGGTTGTGGCTCTAAGTTAGCCTTCGTCCTGACAACTCGGGCTGATCTACCAATTCTCTAAATCTTGGCCAGTAAGATTAACCATGTCAAACTCTATAAGCCCAATTAAAACGAGAAAATATCATATTGGACTCATCATATGTGCAGTTTATATTTGGTAATTTGAACGAGAGTTTGGATTCGACGGACGGGTCTTATCCTTTAAAATGCGCGACGTAAAATGCAATCACATCCATGTCAACAACGTAAAAGCAAAAGTTGGTAATATTTTAAAACCTTTTTTATTATTATTGACCCATAATCCTTTAAAAATTAATAAAATAATAATTTATTATTTATATTTTCTCTAATTTTTGATATTATTTTTTTTCATACCCATATTCCCGATGCATCCTGTCATAGTTGTCACTCTTTTATATTTTCTAATGTCGATCACTACCCACAACTCGAGCTTATCATCGATCGTCATCCCTACCATCGATAGTTGCTCTCCTAACCCGTGCTATCTATCGTCGATTAATGTCCGCATCTCATGCTTATTGTTGTGCGTCGTCTCTCATCTCGTGTTCCTCATCAATTATTGCACTCCCAGTTCACTATTCTTCGAGGACGAGGTAGAAGAAGAGATGAAACATATTTATATCCATTTTTGAAAGGGTAGTTTTGAGACATTATTTTTCTTCAATGTCTCCTCACACATTAATACATATAAATATATTATAACATGACCATTAGGTAGTTGTAATCTGTAGACAGTGGCATGCATGTTGCTTTCAAGAAAATAAATTGATGTGTACGCTTGCCCTGACCTAATAGTTGCCGGTGTTACATAATAGTTTATTTGGAAATTATTGTACGTAAGAAAAGTTAGATAGTGTAAACGAAATCTGGAATCGGAAGTGGTCAGAAATGTCATGTGGAAAATGTTGAAGGATAAAATTATCATGCAGAATGAAGCAAATCTGTTTCTTCCTGTTTT